CTTTCCCTATTAAAGGTGGGGCGGGGGGGAGAAAGTGTGTGATTGTTCTGGCTTGCACATGACATATGCATTTGCATGTTGTGAAGCAAGATCCATCATGTACCCTTAGAATCCCAGACTGGTTTGTGTTGGAAGGGACCTTAAAGCTCACCCAGTTCCAACCCCCTGATATAGGCAGGGACACCTTCCACTAGAGCAGGTTGCTCCAAGCCCCTGTGTCCAACCTGGCCTTGAACACTGCCAGGGATGGGGCAGCCACATTTGGCAGCATTGAACAGATGCTTTGCACACAGAGACACACAGTAAGGCAGAAGAGAGCTAGACCAATGGTCCAGGCATGTTGGATTTGCAACAAGTAGTAGGAAATGGCTGAAGATGTATCTAAATATACCATGAGCAGCTCTCAGGAGTCCTACCTTCAGAGTGAAAGAAATAGAGATAGGGATTAGTATTCTACCCAAATCCCTGATGTCACTGAGGAAGGGAACAGCACAGAACTGGAGGTATCTATCCCACATCCAGGATCATGTGCAGGGGGGAAGCAAACCTGATTTCTCCTAATTTTCCATCCCAGCATCATTATTCCTTATTATTTACCCCTTCCTGTGGCTGCACTGGCTCAGCCCTGGCTCAAACCCTTCCAACATGGCACATGTGCCAGACGGAGCAGCTTTGGGACTGTGCTGTGGACAGATGGCTGGGCTCCCCGGTGAACAGAGCCAGCGGGTATGGTTCCAGCAACAGGCTTCATTGGAGTAATGATTGATGGTGACTTATACAAGGGCTAAGAGTAATTCTTTGCTGTTAACCAGACTTGGCTACAGCAGAATGGAAGTGGAAATTGTTGCCTCATTTATTCATCCTGCCTCTGCTTCCTTCCCGCCCACCCTTTGTGCTTTTTAATACCAAAAAGATGAAGCTACTTTGCTCAGTCTTAAAATTGTCTTTCCCAAGATACTCTTAATTGTATCTCTACACCTTTTCTCATTCACAGGCACATAAGAAGATTAAAGATAGAGGGAGCAGTAATAGATTTAGTTGGGTTTTAATAGGATTTGCAAGGACAATGCAGAGAATGAGCACCATAGAAAATATTGCTGCTTCTCTCTTTGATATCCCTTTAGGCTTCTTTAGGTAGGCTTTCGCAGAGATTTTTGTCTGTGCCCTGCATTCAGAGTCAGGACTCTCATTTTCAATAGGGCGTGTGTGGAGTATCTAATCATCTTGGTAAACAGAATGTTACATTATAACCTGAAAAAATCATTGCAGCCATCATTTTGTATTATTTCTTTGCATCTTACGAGGCGGTTTTGCATGTCAGCAGTGGGCTTTTGAATAGCTGCTTGTTATATCACTGGAAGTGTTTCTGTCTCATGTCAGATAAGTAAAGGGATGGGTTCTGATCTATCTGATTAACTGGATTCCTCACACCCTCGGATATGGAATTCAAGATACTGAATGAAATGCCTATTTCACTTTGGAGACAGAAGAATTTGGAGGAGGGGGTGGGTGCTTCCAGAAGGTGATTCAGCACTCCTGAAATCTGGATTATCCCTGGAGGTGTTTTTCTCTGCTGACTATTGGGGAAGCCTTCATGCACAATTTAGACTCCAGTGAGATGTAGGTGAACAGTGGTGCTCAGCATTTTCTGTTCATTTCTAAGGTTTTTCTTGGTATGCACCCAAACCCTGAGGCACCAGAAACCTCCAGATAAGTTGCTGTATCTTTACTTTGCTCCTAGTTGTGATCTCCAGCAAACTTTGGGTGTAAAAATAAATCTGAGGGCAAAAAAAAGCCACCTCAAAAATCCCTGTAACAAGGTTTCTCTATCTCATAAATCCCAGCCTGTGCCTGTCACCATATTTTCTGAGGTTTTGGTAGTGCATTAAGCAAAGTGCCAGCGGGTCCATGTCTGAAGAGACTGTGTGTTATGAATTGTTTTTATTTAACAAGTTTGATGCTGTGTTGCTTTTCACAAGGGAGAGAAGTGCAGAAGCCTTTCAAAGTGTTACTGGAGGAAACACATGGTCCTAGCAAAAAGCTTTCCTTCATGTAGAATGAGCCTCTGTCCCATCATGGGGCAAAGTCTGCCAGTGTAGCATTAAAATTTGCAATATTTATTGTCATAACAGTAAAACAAACTGGTTTTTGTCACAGCTCTTTTCCTCCTATCTCAACCTTTATTCCTCTGTTCTCCTGCAGCCCAGCCATGGCCGGAGATTCTAGGATCTTCATGAACCAGGACATGGACATCGGAGTTACATCCAGAGAGCCTAAGAAGATTCCCAAGCAGGCTCGGGATGATGTCCCCATTGCCACCGACCGAACCCGCCTCATATCAGCAGAGGGTAAGAAGCCACGTCAGCGTTACATGGAGAAAAGTGGCAAGTGCAACGTGCACCATGGCAATGTTCAAGAAACCTACCGGTACCTTAGTGACCTCTTCACTACGCTGGTGGACCTCAAGTGGCGTTTTAACCTGCTTGTCTTCACCATGGTCTATACCATCACTTGGTTGTTTTTTGGGTTCATATGGTGGCTCATCGCCTATATCCGGGGAGACCTCGACCATCTTGAAGATGAGAACTGGATCCCCTGTGTTGAAAATCTCAGTGGATTTGTTTCTGCATTTCTGTTTTCTATCGAGACTGAGACAACAATTGGGTATGGCTATAGGGTCATAACAGAGAAGTGCCCAGAGGGCATCATACTGCTCCTGATCCAGGCTATTCTGGGCTCCATTGTCAACGCGTTCATGGTGGGGTGCATGTTTGTCAAGATCAGCCAACCAAAGAAGAGGGCTGAAACCCTCATGTTTTCTAACAACGCCGTGATTTCCATGAGGGATGAGAAGCTCTGTCTCATGTTCCGTGTTGGAGACCTCCGCAACTCCCACATTGTTGAGGCTTCCATTAGAGCCAAACTAATTAAGTCCAAACAGACCAAAGAAGGAGAGTTTATCCCCTTGAACCAAACGGATATCAACGTGGGATTTGACACTGGAGATGACAGATTGTTCCTGGTGTCACCTCTTATCATCTCACATGAAATCAATGAGAAAAGTCCCTTCTGGGAGATGTCCCGCACCCAACTGGAAAAGGAGGAGTTTGAAATTGTGGTCATCCTGGAAGGAATGGTGGAAGCAACAGGTAAGAACGTGTCAAAAATCAGTCACAGTTTTGAGGGGGGAAAGGGGAAAAACGGAGTGCATCTTGGCACTAAGATTTTACTGCCAGTGTCACCTGCACTGAGAACATGTTGAGATTTGTTCTTCTCTAGTGACTAGTTTAGGTGGGATATTTTGGTCTGAGATAACCAGCAGTTAAAAGGTGGGTCCTTTAGCTCACGTGGTAATGTTTCACACTCTAAGTCCAGAATTCAAAGAGATTGGTGGAGTCCATGGTCATTTAGAGCTGATCCATGGGGAAAAAAGGAATGCGCTAAAGGAATTAATGCTGTCTCCTGTGCTCCTCTTTCCTGTGATCAAAATTCATGGCGCAAATCTTTTTCCATTTCTTGTCTGTATTAAAAATTGGCTGTAACTGTGCTATTTTAGGTATTACTGTAGGGCTGCTTTTTAATGGAGGCAATGAAGGAAGTGGCTGGGTATTACTATATCCCATAAACCACCATGTGCTGAAACTAAATGACTTGCATATGACGCAGGACATGTATTTTTTAAAAGCAGCTCAAAGAGGAAACATAGAAGCTACTTTTGTGACTCTTGCAATCTGGCAGTTTAAAACAGCTTAAAACAATGCTGTGTAATGGGTAGATTTGGAGATCTACTCAGCTGATACCCAGTTTCCTCCTATGGGGGTATTTGTGGCAGGCGATGAAAGAAGTCTGTGTCTGTATATAATAAATCTGGGATCTATTATATGAATATAATATTAA